TATATAAAAATTGTTGATTTTTTCCTCTGGTGACAAAATTTTCTATAACACTTAGTATCTTCTCGTCGCAATAACAGACTTCCAGAAAAGGTCCCAGTTTTTTCAGACTTTTGGCAACCTATTCATTTCTCCTCTCGCATTAAATAGCTGCATTTTTCACATTATTCTTAATACTTCATGTTAACATATACTACACAATTATGATATTTAAAATTTTAAATAATTTCTCAAAGGCATATGACCAGCTAAAGAGAAACAGCAACATAAATTCTTTAGATTAAATAACGCAAACTAAACACTTGCATACATTATCCACTCTTCCAGCAAAATGGTATCAAAAGAGATAAGGCTAAAATGATTTTAGCAAGGAGATTTTCTGACATCATAGAAACTGTATTCAGTCAGCTCTGTTGCTGAGATGCTGATTATTCATGTGCCATCTAGCCTTCTCTCCATTTTAGTAAGTTTTTGGCTACTCACTACTTATTTGTACCTGTCCTCTTTGGTGGACGAAGGGGAAATAACATAATAATAATAAAAATATAACAATAATGGAAATTATGAGTAACATCAATGACTTAAAAATTTTAAATACCATTGTTACTTCTGTTTCAAATTAGAATTGAAACATCTCAAGAACAGACAAGAATGTAGTAAGTTTTGTTGTTAAAAACCACACAATGATAATGAAAGAAGTCAAAGAAAAGTGACTTTCCTGAAATTAAACCATCATCATCCCAAAGATAGCAGAAATGCTAAATATTAATTGACATACGGAATAACAACATTGGTTCAAAATACTTTAAGCAAGTTGGTTCTAATATTTTCTCACACTCTACTGTAGAATATTCTAGAATTCAATTGAGAATGGCTAAATAGAGAGCACAATGAAAGTTGTGATTTATAAATTTTGAGGATTATTTCTAGAATAGAAGGTAACAAATGTGGGTACTAAATAATACACTCATTCATTAGCTAATTACATGTTTAATAATACTAGCAAGTAGAACCTACTAAACATACATGACTTATTAACTACACTTGCCAATATTTATATTTTTAAAAGCAATAGCAGTAGAGTTAGGTGAGAAATCTAATACTTGTATCTATTAGTAAACTACTTAATATTTGTATGTGTAAACTTTATCAAATAGATTCTAGGTATATCTATGTCTATTAGAGGTCATGTCAAAAGTTTATTTAATGAAGTAACTATATGTTAATAAACCTGAGCTGGGTAATCTATTGATATATGAAGTATAAGAGAAGTAGTCAGAGACTAGAGAAAAGTCCAGCAAGAGACTAGCGGCTCTGTTAATGAATATTAATGCCATATTAAACCAGAGCTGGACACATAGTAATTTTATAGCAATACATGTAAGAACAAACTGCCCCATGATCTAGCACATAGAAAGTTTTGTGGCCATAATCTAAATTAGTTTATACTACTTGGTTGAAAGTGTTATCCTAGCTTAAGTTTTCATGATTAGCATTCAAAATTAATATGCCCTTTTGAGCGAAACATATCTCCACCTAGTAACTTGTATGGAAGTGACTTGAAAGCCTGATAAAGAATAGTTATAATTAGCCACCATCCTTAGAGAAAAATACCTCTATGCATTTAGCAAAAATGGACCGATTTTAACGTTAATTCTGACAGAAGTTCTAACTCAGTTGTTACACTGAACTTTATGTATCTTATGCTGTCTATTTCATTACTATTAAAAATAAACTGCTTTCTTCTGAAAAAGAGGTTAATAATATGTTAACTACAATTTTAATAGCTATCTTTTATTTTAACCACAAATATTTTTAATACAACTCTTAAGCAAAATGGTATTTTTATTATAATGGAACATCAGCTAACTTAATATTTTTAAACTGTAAGTCTGGGTTATAAAGTACCAACAGCTCTTTAAATGAATACCTACTGTTTGGGATATTCTGAACTCAGTCTTTTTGCCTACAATCTTGAGTTTACACTAAGCCCACATACATTTTTGTTTGCGAAAAACAACAAATACGATTGTTCAGGAAGTGTAATTTACGGTACCTAGGTAAAAACCTTACATTTGCGGAAGCCAGATAAATGACTTTACTAATATAAAAATATCCTTTAATTTTTCTTAACATTTTGCTTAAAATTAAGTGGAATGTTTATAAAGAAATGCTTTAGTCCAACATATAGATTACATTAGTAATTTAGTTATTTTCAGGGTTATCTAGAGTACACAATAAATTGGTTACTAAAGCTACAGACATAACTCTGGCCAAAAAGTTAAAAAAGAACAAAGAAAAGAATAGGAAAGGTACAGAAAGAATTAATAATCTCTTATTTGTTCTTTTAAGGCAATACAGCCAATTTAAAAAAATCATTCCAAAACTGAGATAAAAAAGCTAAATGTATTTTTTTAGATAGTCATTAAAACACATAAGATACTTGGTTGCCATTGTAACAATAAATTTGTGTTTTGTAATAAATTGATAATTTTAAAGTAACAGCTTTTCTAATTCTAAGGAACTGATTTGCCAAAATAAGGTTTAAAATAAAATACCTGAAATGGCTTACATTAGTTTATCTTGATCTGATATAAATTAGTGATTGATAGCAAAAAATATGAGAATATACATAAATGAAATAGCACGTTATTATGAACCAGAAATACCATAAATGGTGACATGTTCATTTCCATAAAATTTTACATTTTTGTACATATATTTCTCCTTAAATTTGTACCTCTGACATGTTCAGAATTTGGCTATAATATTTACTTAAGGGCTAGTACAACTGTAGAGCCAGTATAATTACATCAATTAGCCAAAAGAGGGCGCAGAAAGAACACCAGAGTTTTTGCAATCCCTAGGAAACTGCCAGTTGGTTTCTCTCTAGTCATCTAACAGGAATTACAAACCCACAGTAGGGTTAGGTTTGCTAATTTGGGAATACTGAAACTTACCACGTAAGTATATATAGATATACTTTAATATAGATTCTTATATAAATATATTGATACGTAGCATTTCTGCCATTCAAACAAAATAAGCATATGCTTTTCTAGTGTATTAGTTTGTAGTCCAATAACTTAAAGGAATTGGGTACAGAGGAAATCAGGACCAGGGAGGGTAAAGAGAAAGGAGAGAAGAGCATGTGTCCTGGTGGTGGTAAATCTAAGAAAAACAAAAGCACAAATCCTCAAAGTGGGGAAGAGACCTCCCCAATACTTTTCAGCATAGCTACTGCTACCACACGGTGTGTATATATGGCCACAAAGCTCTTCAGGGGGTCTTCACTTGGCTCTGCTGTTTTTTCAAGGTCCTTATTTGAAAGGAATGTATACAACATAAGGCATTCAACCGATATCTACCCACATTATCTACCCATTACTTCGTTGTAACAGTCTGTCACCAGGCCAAATTTGGTCAATTAGTTTGCACAAAATCCAACCCATTTGTCTGACATGAACATACTAATTTAGTGTTTCATTAAGCTTTATAAATATATTTCTTATATTCAATTTACTATGTCTCTTTCAGTACCAATAAATACGTTCATCTGCCACTTCTAAGTTTTTAAGTAATAAATATTAGCATTATAATTAGAATATGAAAAACATGATATTAACATCTCTGAGAAGAGCTTATTCTATTACTTCAGAATATTCTATAAGATATTTACAATTTGTGAAATAACTAACCACACTGTAGCAAATTGGCTGACAATGGTAACCTTCCGTTTTATTATTTTCCAGGTATGATTCTTTACTTTCAAAACTAACTAAAAGGAAAACATTAATATGGTTCAAGAACAGTAGACTCTTTCCATCTTCTCTTCAAGGGGAGGAATGTGAGTAAATAAATGTTTTAAAAGGATATATGAGTTTTGCAGTTTTCTAATGGAAAAAAATTAAAAGCTGAATTTTTGCAAAGCATACTAAATGTCTTTTCATACAAATGGTCTATGCTTTCCAGAAGAATATCACTATTAACAATTTAAATTTGTATAAGGCTAATGATAAATATAGATCATTATATTTTCTATTTTAAGGTCATTTTCTAACATTAGCTACTAATAAAAAGGTCTCTCAATGCAAATGATAGCTGGCCAATTAAAATTTAATTTCAATTTGGGTGATTACAAGTACATAAAAGTTAGTGACTTATTTTATGTAGGAGCTTCCTATAAATAAAATTTCAATGAGTTGGCCAATATCTATTATATATAAACCTTCAGTGTGTAATTTTAGATCTACTAGTAGATAAATAAAAGTAAAAAGTATATTTTTTTTCAAAAGCACAATATTCCTCTTTATACTGTACATTATATATTATCTAGTTATACTAGCATTTTAAAAACATAGGCATTCTAATACAACTTCACTAGAAAAGGTAACTGTGGAATTATTGCAAATTCTCTACCCTTTTTGCTCATTAACATCTTAGGGTAAAATAGAAATACATGCCCACCAGTCACAAATTCTCCTAGGAACAAATATTCTAATAACAATCAATAATTACAACAGTAAAGAGAAAAAAATAGGAAAATTAATGTGGAAAAATTTTTTAATTTTTCCTTTATAATAAAGTAGGTAGTTGGTGTTTTATTTTAACAATGTTTTATTCTTGGTTTTGGTGAAGAGAAAAGAAGAAAACATCAGAAAGCTACTCCTAAGAAAACAGTGCCCTTTTATTGTTGTTCACTCCTTTGCTGCTGCATTTTTAAAAATCTTGCAGCACATATAATAAAAGGAAGTAGTATTTTAAAATGTATTTGAAAAGTAAAATTTACATATTATAAGAAGGTGTATCAACTTTTGTAAAACCTGAAGAATTAAATTCAGACTTGGTTAGTACTGCTTAAAAGTGAAAATTTTAAATAAACATCTGAAATTTCCCATAAATTAAAATCTGTAACATTGTCAGTACTAAAAGAAATTATGTACAATTATTTCATCCCAATCACTGCCTTTTGAGTTTAATTACAAAAGCATTTAAAGAAATCCCTGTGGAAAGCTAATTTGAAAGTAAACATGCTTTAAAACTTAAATATACATCTTGTATGAGTCCCACAACAGGATCAAGATCACTATTAAAATAAAGCCTGGGGCACATTATGATGCCTAAGATTGGTGGGTGGATTTTAATTGACTTGAAGACTGTCATAGTTCTATTATCATAAAACCTGTAACGCATTTCCAGCATGGAGGACCCATCTGTGCCCACCATCCATCTGTTTAGACGTGATTGGCAAAGTGGTAGGGAACTCGCAGTGGTTGCCTCTGCCTGAAAGGAATGAACCACAGGATCTTCCAACGAGTGCCAAAAACTTCTGAGAAGGTCTGCTGCCATGGCTTTCGGGGCCTCGATCTACAGAAGACAGCATTATTAGTGAAAGACAGCACTCCCATGGTGCACTTCAGTCAGCTAAAACAATACAGGTTGGCTGGGGATCCATTACTGGACTCTGATGAATTGTGTCCCAGCATCACAAATACAGCTTTTCTTTCATTATGGCATGCAGCTGAGTTTTAACTCTGGATAGCAGATATTGTATCTGTGTCGTCAATCAACGTAGGGCAACTTTTGAAGCAGAGGAGAATCTCAGGATTAACAGAATGTGTTGTCAACAACACAGTAGCAAATCTCTTTTGATGTACTTTTAGGACAAATAATTTAACTTACTTTAGTTAGACAAGGAATAAGAATGATCAGTACTTATTTCGTTTGAAAACTACCATGGCTAGAAGACCCCTACTGTAAGACTGGGGTATGCTTGTCTAGCTCAGGCCTCAGACAAGGAGCTAAGAAAAAGTCATCATTACATTATATTTCCACTATATGCACATATTTGTGAAATGTGTCCAGTTGTTTCCATTTTTAAATACTACTACACACTTCACTTTTATACTTACATTTCTTCACAACAGTTTGACATCTTCTCAATAGATGTTGTATCCTATTAAAAATAAAAAAATCATACTCAGATGTAACAAAGTTATCAAGTCTTTATTTTATATTATTTTATGATGTTTTAAATCCTATTCAGCGAATATGCTGAAGATTTAAACAGTTTATATATGAGTACTAAGAATTATAAATTATCTACATAAATTGCTAGAATTCCCTTGGATAAAAAGAATTGACATTACATTATGCCCCTCAAAATTATTCAAATACAAAACCTAACAAAAAGTGTGGCAGTATCACTTCATTCAAATACAACCTCTTATTACACATGATTGCTCAACAATTCTTTTTTAAGTCTAGTATCTATTTTCAATTCAACTGTCAGTGAATATGCATTAAAAAATAAATACAAAAATGACACAAAAGATGCTAATGAATAGAAATCTGCTGGGAGAGTGCTACTGGTTCTAAATTTCTATGAAGAACAAAATTCAACAAGGCAATCTATGAATCTGCCATATTATTACATCTATTGCTCTGAAAACTAAATTATTAGTGTTCTTTTTCAATAGAAAAATCATTCTTTTCATAATACTACAATTTCTTAACTGTATATTTTCTATAAGGTTCTAACACAAATATGTAAGAAACACAATTCAATAAACAGAAGACAGCTTCTAGAAATACTGGTTTAATTTGTATTAACACAAGATCTATCATTAGATTGACAAACTGCTACAATAAGTAATATCCAAAAATTCAAAACACAAATTATACAATCTTATTTTTAGATATATATTTATATTTTAAATATACTTTCAAGCAGTACAAAAGAATATATTCTTTCAAATATATAAAAGAGAAGTTTTTCTCTTCCTATCCCTTTACTTTACCTTAATAGCTTGCTCACATATGATAGAAGGTATACTATTCTATTATTAAGCATTACTATTCATGCAAATACTTGTGGCTGCAACTCAAATCCCAAGAACTTACTTGTCTGTAGTTTTTTTCCAGTGATGATAATAAACAGACCTTCACTTTTAAAAACTCTTTAGAGATGTTACGTGAATATCTCATATCAAATGCTCACTATGAATAGCCGAATAACTATAGTTATCCTACATAAGGGAAAACAGATCTATTTTTTAGATGACTAGTAACCAATAACAGAGTTTCATTTATAGATTTTCCAGGAATTTGTAAAGAAATTATAGATTAGCTACATGTTCTATTTACATTAGTTTTCCTATCATGCTGCGAAATTCATGGTATCCAATGACAATTCTATTTATAATTAACATTTCTCAGCTCTGTTGTATAATTTCCTTAAAACAATGTTTTAGTTTATGAAAAGAGTCTACAAACACATGAGAACATTGATTAGAGACTTAGAGGAAACCTGAGCCTCTAGTTCCACATCTGTAAATGAAGTGAAGTCATTTTAACAGTTTCTTAGAGTCTGATAGTGACAGGTTGTCCGAAGCAATTAGAACAGATTGAGCAAAAGTACAAACAAACAAACAAACAAAAAATGATGGCATAGAAGTCAAGAAGTGCGATTAGGAAAAGTATTGAATTGCCTAAAATCACAGTCATGAATGACACTTAAAAACTCAAACCTATTTAGGATAAGGAAGGCAATTGCAAGGTCAGACTATTACCACTAGATAATATTAAGGGAAATTTTTACTCTGCAGAAATTCATAACTTGCTTATAACCTTGAGGAATTTATTTGTGATATTAAAAGAATCAACTTTAAAGATTTCAGATTGATATTTCACATGGAAAAAAGCTTTTATTTTCAAGGTTTTTGACACAGTTCTACAATCTGATTCAGGAAATAACTAGAGTACTACCTATTAAATGATCATAAGCAGATGGATATTCTTTTAAAGGATATGATGTTTAACATCATTTCTGAACAGAATTTGTGAGGCTGGCCAAAATAGGCTATTTGTTTCCTCTGGAAATGGCAAATGTTCATCTCTCCGAAACTCAGCTATCCAGAATACTGACATACAAAAAAACTACAATTTGTATTTGAGCGGCCAAACATGTCATCCAATTTTTGCACTGGCGCTTATACAACACACTCAGAACAACACAAGTTATCATGTTATCATATTCACAAGCAGGACAAAAACAACAAACTAGAAGAGGAAAGAGGTCACTACTGCCAGGAATACTGAAAACCACGAGCTATTCCCAAGTGCCAAATTAAGTTTAATATACTTATTTTGCTCTGTTTTTTTTTGAGACAGAGTCTCACTCTTTTGCCCGGGCTAGAGTGAGTGCCATGGCGTCAGCCTAGCTCACAGCAACCTCAAACTCCTGGGCTCAAGCGATCCTCCTGCCTCAGCCTCCCGCGTAGCTGGGACTACAGGCATGCGCCACCATGCCCGGCTAATTTTTTCTATATATTTTTAGTTGTCTGATTATTTTTAGTAGAGACGGGGTCTTGCTCTTGCTCAGGCTGGTTTCGAACTCCTGAGCTCAAACAATCCGCCCGCCTTGGCCTCCCAGAGAGCTAGAATTACAGGCGTGAGCCACCGTGCCCAGCTTTTGCTCTGTTTTAAAAGCATACAATGTGGATTTTTTTTTTTACAGAACACACTAAATAATTAAAATATTTTGGTGCAGATAATTTCATTCACTACAAAAGAATGAAAACCTTTTTTTGCTCATCAAGAAAGGACCAACTGCTACCCTCAAGGAGTATAAATACAATTTATAAGTTCTTAGTTACATGTAAAACTCAGCTCTTCGGAAAAATATACTCTTCGAGGAATGATAAGAAACAAGTTTTTACTGTAGGTTGTCTATAATTAGGATACCTTATTTCTAGAGAATATCTATGCCTTGATTATAGTCTAATGATCAAAATACATGTCTAAGACGTGCATCAGTCTGCATAACTATAAGATATATGAGAATGCTTCACTATTTTAAAAACTAAAAGTGTAAATTAAAAACAGCATGACTTACAGAAGTATAGGACTTACCTATTTTATCAGCTAATACTTTCTTTTCTCCTGATGGCTGATTTTACCCTAAGAAATTATCTTTCAGGCTCAATCTAAACAATGTTCAACTATTTAAAAAATAAACTATATTCTAATAATAAGATTTTGATGGAATGGGTGTGGGGAAGTTCTTAACAGAAAGGGAGAGAGAAGTATTTATTGGCTGATGTTTAAAAAAAATGGGTGGGGGAATAAAAGGCAAGAATTTATCACCAGAGGTTTCCTGTTAACAGACCTGAGAATCCAGTCTTCTTGGCAGCAATAGCTTGATGATACAATCAATCTAACTAACTCATTCTGCTTTGAGCTCATTCTCAGCAAGCAACACTTTGCCACGTATGTTGTCATATAGGAGAAAGAATATGCTCAAGAGTCCTTTGGCACACCTGACAATCATGCATAAGGGAATAAACAATCAATCTGTTACAACTATCTCTTTTGAGTCTGGAAGTAAGATCCATTGCTTCTGGGCCTGATAAACCCTGGAAACAATTTCAAATGGAGTTACTAGACCTGCCAAACTGAAGACCTGATAAAGGAATATTCCATTAGACTCCTCAAAGACAGTTCAATCTAACTTCAATGATTGCACTTTTTTAGTCTTATTACAGGTCCTTTCGATGCTTCTAACTCTGCTGCACATAGCTACCTAATTCAATGACTCTATGTTAATTTAGTCTACAGTTTAAAACACTATTCAGTACACAAATCTACTCGAAATGGATTAAAGACTTAAATGTAAGACCTTAACCTATAAAATTACTAGAAGAAAACAGAGGGAAATGCTTCATAACATTGGACTAGGCAAGGATTTTTTGGATAAGACATCAAAAGCAAAAAATAGGTAAATGGAATCATATCAAACTAAAACCCCTCTGCACAGCAAAGGAAACAGTCACCAGAGTAAAGAGACAATCTATAGAATGGGAGAAAATATTTGCAAATTATACATCTAACAAAGGGTTACTATCCAGAACACATAAGGAACTCAAACAACTTAACAGCAATAGAATAAATAATCCAATTTAAAAAATGAACAAAGACCTTAATAGACATAGACATTTTCTTCAAAGAAGACATACAAATGGCCAAAAGGTATATAAAAAAATACTCAACATCACTCATCATCAAAGAAACACAAATCAAAACCACAATGAGATATCACCTCAGTCTAGTTAGAATGGCTATTACCAAAAAGACAAAAGATAAGTATTGGCAAGGATGTGGAGAATAGGGAACCCTTACTGTTGGTGGAAATGTAAATTAGCATAGCCATTATGGAAAACAGTATGGAGGTTCCTCAAAAAATTAAAATGGAACTACTATATGATCCAGCAATTCCAGTACTGGGTATATGGTTGGCACTCCATATCCATGGGTTCTGCATCCATGGATTCAACCAACTACAGATAGAAAATATTCAGGAAAAAAAATTGAAAAAAATAAAAAATTATACAAATAAAAAATATAGTATAGCAACTAATTACACAACATTTAAATTCTATTAGGTATTATAAGTAATCTAGAGGTGATTTAAAGTATGCAGGAGGATGTACATAGGTTATATGCAAATATTATGGCATTTAATTTAAGAGACATGAGCATCAGTGTATTTTGGTATCTGCAGATGGTCCAGAAATCAGTTCTCTGTGGATACTGAGGGACAACTATATATCCAAAGGAAATGAAATCAGTATGTAGTACTCTCATGTTTACTGCAGCACTATTCACAACAGCCAACCTAAGTGTACAACAACGGATGAATGGATAAAGAAAATGTGGTATATATACTCAATGGAATACAATGCAACCATAAAAAAGAATGAAACCCAGTCATTCACAGTAACACAGATGAACCTGGAGGACATTATGTTATGCGAAATAAGCCAAACACAGAAAGACAAATACCAAATGTTCTCACTCACATGTGGAATCTAAAAAAGCTGATCTCACGAAAGTAGTGGGTACGAGAGACTGGGGAGGGTAGTAGAGAGTGGAGGATGGGAAGAGGTTGATAAACGG